AAGTTGCACAAGGAGAGTGGAGGGGATTGGAATGTGGTTTGTATAGTTTGAGTGAGGTTTAATGGGGGTTTGGGGGAGGGGATGGATGTGGAGAAGGCAGGGGGATCTAGAGTTGCGGTCAAGCTCTTTCTCATTTTGATTCGATTATTAGAAGCATAAGCTAGATTATTTCACACAAACTTTACCCTTTCATAAAGATAAAAAAATTGTTTCACACAATCATGTCTTAAGTATGTGTTGAACAGGGCAGATTTATTCTAGGACAAGCGGTGTCATGTGGCACCTCTTTGTCAATTTTTAATACTAAATATGTACTCCCTCTGTCCCTAATTACTTGTCCACTTTTGAATTGGCACACCTATTAAGAAAACAATAATTGATATAGTGAGTTTACCATTTTGCCGCTATTAATTATGAAGTGGATGAATTAAAAACTTAATATTTTCAAGAAGCTCTACCTTTTTCAAAGTAATTAATTGAGGGTATAATAGGTAAAAAAATTGTCCTTTCTTGATTTGTCAAAATAGACAAGTAATTAGGGACAACTAAAAAAGGAAATGTGGACAAGTAATTAGGGACGGAGGGAGTATTATATAATTAAATGGCAGAAACATAAGTGAGAGTATATTCATTGACATGACACTGCTTGACACAACATGCTGTGTTGCTCTACTGGTCAGGTGCCACTGCTTTCAACTAAAGTTCGCGAGTTCGAAGGCAAGCCACTTCATTTTGTATTTTAAATTTTTCACGCCTCATCTGTAAAAAGATGTTGTCTAGGTTTGAACCACTGACCTCTTGGAGCTTAACAAAAGGTTGAGCCTAATAGTCCAAGAGTTACACTTGTAAAGAATGGCGACAAATGTTCATGGAATGATGTTTCTCCATTGTGGTTGTGCTATCATCTTCTTTCTTGCCAAGGAAATTGATTAAGAAGAGTTGTAGTAATATACGTAAACTGTGTTTAATTTTCTATATATTTCTTAATATGATATTGTAATGTCTTATGTATTTGTTATCATTTTAAAATGTGACGCCACTGGTGTTGATTAATGGTCTAGTTCACTAATGTGAGATAGTTTGCTCTCACTTCCAGACTTAGTAATGATATTTCCCATTCTTCTTTAATGAACTAATTGTGCCTATTATTTCCTAATCTTGCAGAATGATGGCAACTCTGATGAACTCCATACTGCTGCAGTCGGCATTAGAGAAGGTTGGTGTGCAAACTCGTGTGCAAAGTGCATTTAACATGCCCGAGCTTACTGAGCCATACAGCAGGCAACGAGCTATGCGGCATCTTGAAAAAGGTAGAGTTGTGATCTTTGGTGGTATTGGAGCTGGCACAGGGAATCCACTCTTCTCTACGGATACAGTTGCAGCACTCAGAGCTTCTGAAAGTACGTAATGTTACACTTGAAATGTCTGTTTTTTATTCTCGCTGAGTGGTTAATGATTCGAACTTTTCCTTTTCAGTTCATGCTGATGCCGTACTCAAGGCTACAAATGTAGATGGTGTCTATGTCTGTGACGCCCAAAATAATAATGTTGTTGCTGAGCATATTTCCTTCAGGGAGCTGGTTTCCGGAGGAGATTCCCCATTGGACCTAATGGCTGTTACATTATGCGAGGAGAATGCAATTCCTGGTCCGTATTTTCTGAGCGTGCTCTTTACATTGCCAGACACTATCTTATAGAATGTTGCCTCTAATATCCATCTTTCATCGACATACTTCATGGAAGTGTGTCTAGTTCCCTTTCTTGACACGCTTTGCTTTTCTTGCAGTTGTTATTTTCAATCTTCATGGGCCTGGAAATATATCAAGAGCGTTATGTGGAGAGCAGGTGGGTACACTGATCGATCAGACAGGACGTGTTAGCTAGCGTTCTCTTGAGATGTGTGGCATTTACCTTCATCTTTAAAGATAAAAAGAGATTTAGGGAGAGCAGCATTGAGGCTTCAATGACCATGGAGTTTTCTGAGTTGAATGATGATCTCCCCATGACTTTATACTCAGACGATAATTCGATCCAACTTCAAACAGATTATTACAGAGATAAAGATACCATCTAGTTCATGGAACTGATGAACTGTATGTTGTAGTTTAGTTTTTTTTTTTTTACTGGACTAGTGTTAATAGTTTGGATTATAAACATGTGTAGTGAGATAAGTTAATGTTCTTGGAAAGAAGGAAAACCTTTTTTTTTTTTTGCTGTCTTAGAACTTAGAAGGGACTTAGTTTGCATTGTCTTAAATATACACAGATTTTGGGATCTTTGAAGATATGCAAGTCAAAATACTTTCTAGTTTTGGTCCTCTTTCTCATTTCTTTCCTTTTCCCTTGGAGTCATGGAGCAATGGTAAAGTTGTTTCCGCTGTGACTTATAAGTCACAGATTCAAGCGGAGGAAACTACTACTACTACTTGCATTAGAATAGGTTGTCTATGTCATACCCCTCTTGTGGTCTGACTCTTCCTACAATTAATATTGTTAAAGAGTTACTTATATTGGTAAAGTTGTTTCCGTTTCAATTTATGCAACGTTTAAAATTAGTATAGAGTTTAAAAAAGAAATGAATTTTCTGAAATGTGTGGTCTGAAGTATATCATAGCATTTATGTTGCTATATAACTTTTAAAACTTATGATTTTAAATGTCATTAATATTTCTATGGTTATAAAATCTTTACATTGAAATCTTATACTCTCGTTGTTTCAATTTACGTAATATAGTTTAACTCGACACAAAGTTTATATAAAAAGTAGGCTTGGAAAGCTTCACGCGAAGGGTAAAATGAGTAGTGTACAAATGTTTTCAATGTATCATCTTATTAAAGATTAACTAATAAAGATATGTTGCCGCATAAATTAGAACATAAGGGTTAGAATTCTACTCTTCTTGATGATGTTCAGGGCTGGATCTGTCGATCACGCAAACTCAATAATTTTTACCTAAATACACATATATACTATGAAATTCATTAAGTATACATACATATTTAAATTATGAATTCGTCTCGGACTATGTTATAAGAAGAGTACATGTTGTCATAAGTTAGGTATAACATCTACAAAATTCTATCGGATTATGTCTCTTGTTTTTCTATATTATAAACCCCAAACTAAGGCTAAATGTACTATTTTTTAAACCCATATAATATATGGTCCACAAAAGGAACACAAAATATCACTGTCATAAATTCACTCTATTCATTTTTGATTGGTATGAGTAGAGCAATAAATGAGTGAATCAGATTGAATATAGACAGATCAAACAAAAATAAACAAACCATTTGATTCACTCATATTTAATATGAATTAAAATGGTTAATTGACCGATAATATAAATTCATATCATAAGCTAAAAATTAAAATAAACTTTAGTTTAGAAAGTAAAAACTCGCGAAAAATAAAATAAAATTGGATATCGATAATATGACGAATGTCCAATTCTTTAGTAAATTATCCATATTCAATTATTTTTATATGATCTATTATCCAACCCTTGTCTAATGGATCGAATTGGATGTGTTACCTTTTCTTTTAACCACTTTCACCCGATCACTCTGGTAATCGTCTATGCTGCTCAAATTCTTTACAGATATTATTATATTCCAATTGAATCCTTAAAATAAAATATATAGCGGTGAAGAATTTGACACACATAATGTATTTTCCTAAAAGACTAAATAACATCGGACCCAACACACAATGCTTTTTTTTTACAAGTCCGTAAAATCAGTTAATGCTATGTTGTTAGAACATTTTAAAAGTGTTATCATACCCATATTAAATTTGTCAAAAATATATTATTGTTGAAAAAATTGACATATATACATTAATATTTTTATAAAGTTCGAACAATATAGATCTAAAGTATGTCTCAAATTTGTGAGTTGACTCAGTAAACACCAAAAGTGGCAAGAGTGAAATTGCGCAAATCACGCCAAAGTGAAAATAATGTAAAGTCTGTTAAAAAAAAGAGGTAGTGTCTTTTGACAGCCCATCAATTTGCTTTGCTTTTTCCCATCAGTGATGAATACATGACAGTCTAAAAAATTGATAATCAAGTCATTATTATTATTATTATTATTATTATTATTATTATTATTATTATTATTATTATTATTATTATTATTATTATTATTATTATTATTATTATTATTATTATTATTATTATTATTATTATTATTATTATTATTATTATTATTATTATTATTATTATTATTATTATTATTATTATTATTATTATTATTATTATTATTATTATTATTATTATTATTATTATTATTATTATTATTATTATTATTATTATTATTATTATTATTATTATTATTATTATTATTATTATTATTATTATTATTATTATTATTATTATTATTATTATTATTATTATTATTATTATTATTATTATTATTATTATTATTATTATTATTATTATTATTATTATTATTATTATTATTATTATTATTATTATTATTATTATTATTATTATTATTATTATTATTATTATTATTATTATTATTATTATTATTATTATTATTATTATTATTATTATTATTTTGGACAGTCAAAAAGGAATTTTATAAATACTTAATTCATTGAGAATTACAAGTTTTGAATAGTGTACGCGTTCAATAGGAACAAGTTCTAGTTTAAATGTCAAAATAAAAGATAGCAGAAAATTTTAACAAGTTTCGAAGGTCAAACGTTGAAAATGGAGTCGCTTTTGGTAAGGAACATGTTGCTCTTCATAATAGGACTTTCTGATAAGAATCTGAATTAGTCAAACCAAAATGGACACCAAACACCAAACGAAAAACCAAAAAACAAAGTTGACTGAGTGTCTAGTGTCATATTTGGACTGAGTTGCGAATAGCACTATAAGTTACTCCTTCCCTTCATTTACTTTTACTTGTCACGTTTCACTTTTCGAAAGTCAAGCAACAAGGAGCTAGTAGAGTGAGGTTTTGCCTTAGAACACAAATCTTGAAAATGAATTAAATACAAAGAATTAACATTACATTACATTACATTAAAAAAAAACATAATGGACTGATTGCTGCACTTCTTATATGCTTGTTGGATCATCAGATTTTTCAAAAGTGCAGTAATTTGGAATAACACAAAGCAATCAAATAACTACTAAACATAAGTCCATAGCTTTTGAACTTCCCAATTTGCAGTAAGATGCTGCAAATTTGAACATATACTACTAGGACTATGAAACATCAATGCCACGATGATCGAAAATTAGTAACCGGGGAGTCCATCTTCAGTGGTGGCTAGGGAGGGGGAAAGAGAATTGCGCGATTCGTCATAATCTTCACCTAATGGAGATTGTTCAATTCTAATCTCCTCAATCAACTTAACAACTTCAACCATAGTAGGCCTTTTTTCGGGTAGTGGCACTACACATGCCATGGCTACATGTAGCATTGACACCAATTCCTCCTCAATGTTTTTGTACCTCAACAGTTCTTGATCAAACACTTCAGCAGTCCACTCGTCCCTTACTACTGATCGAACCCATTTAGGCAAATCCACTGGCAATTCTTCCTCCTCATCGTGAGGCCTAGTCGGTGAAGGGTACTCTGAGGGAGCTTTACCAGTGAGCACTTCCAATAACAGTACACCAAAGCTATAAACATCAGATTTTTGAGATAGCCTCTTGATTTCAGATTGTTCGGGCGCTTTGTATCCTCCTAATCTAGCTATGGCATGAACAGGATTCAAAAGCAATGACAACCCAAAATCAGATATACAAGCCACACCATTTTTGTCAAGCAACACATTAGATGATTTCACATTCCCATGTGGGATTCTTGAATCTGCATACTCTTCATGAATGTGAGCAAGCCCTCTAGCTGCCCCTAGCACCAAGCTAATCCTTGTTGTCCAATCCAATGGAATTCTACCTGGTCCTCTGTTTCCTATTAGAATCAAGAAAAAAAAATCCCATCAATATTAGTATCTTACCTACAACTTGCTCGGACTCTCCAAAAATGTTGCCATACCCGCGTTAGATCCTCCAAAGATACACTATCCCTGGAGATTTCTAGAGGATCCGACACGTACCTGCCAACATTTATGAGAAGTCCGAGCAATATAACCCTTACCAACCCCAAAAAAGACAATCTTGAATTACAAAACACGTCACACCCGTGTAAGATTCTCCAAAAATGCACTATTTCTAGAGACTTTTGGAGAATCTGACACACATCCATCGATATTTTTGAAAAGTCCAAGGAATATAATCCTTACCAACCCCCAAAAAAGACAATCTTGAATTACAACGTCAGAATTCTCCAAAAATGCACTATTTTTGGAGGATCCGACACACCCCATCGACATTTTGAAGAGTCCGAGCAATATAGACCTTAACAACCCCCAAAAGAGACAATCTTGAATTACAAAACAATCTTTAATCTTTGACATGAACATTTACTAATGTTTACCATGAAGAAGTGAATGCAAACTCCCATTAGGCAAGTAGTCATAAACAAGCAATTTTTCTTCCTTGGCATAATAGTAAGCTCTAAGTTTCACCATATTTGGATGCTTAAGCTTTCCAATAACATCCATATACTGTTCAAACTCCTTTCTTGGACATGGATTTGCATCTTTCAATCTTTTTACAGCAACTGTAATCCCATCATCAAGAACTGCCTTATAAACAGTACCTAAACACCCTTTACCAAGCATCTCAGCTGATGCTCTTAACAATTCCTCAAGCTCAAATGGCTTCCTCCTATCGAAAAACACGAGTTTACTTCTATCAGTAGCTGTTGTACCATCACTATCACCACCACCACCACCATTGTTATTAGCGTAAACTCGTTTTTCGCTCGAATAACTACTCCTCCTCTTCCCACACTCACTTCCTGACATTGAAAAACTCTGAGTTCTTGAATACTTCCCACAGTAATATGCTACCATAAATGACACTACAACTAACAATGCCACCACATTCACCATCACTATTGCTACTACCCCTCCTCTACTCAACCCTTTTCGCGATTTTTCGTGGGGTTCTTCGATTGTTGCAGTGGAGGTTGTAGGCAAAGAGCTAGGGTTTGAAGGAACTATTTCCCCTGTATATGAACATTGAGGTAAATTTCCAATTCCACATAAACCCTCATTTCCATCAAAGCTATTTTCACCAAAATGATTATATAAACCATTTGGAACAGACCCATAAAGCTCATTATTCGAAAAGTTCAATTCTTTAAGATTTTGAAGAGAATTTAGGGATTTTGGGATTGTTCCAGAAAGTTCATTGTTCTGTAAACGAAGTGTGAGTAATCGGGTCAAATTCGCAATCTGGGTCGGAATTGAACCTTCAAGGTTGTTATTTGAAACGTCAAGGCGGAGGAGACGACGGAGAGAAGAAATTTCCGGCGGAATTTCGCCGGAGAAATCGTTGCCGGAGAGGTAAATGAGCTTAAGATTAGTACATTGGGTAATGGGTGTGAGGGTTCCGTTAAGGCGATTGTTACGGAGGTCGAGAAGGCGGAGTAAGGGTAAAGAAGAGAGAGCAGTAATGGGTCCCCGGAGATTGAACGACGGGAGAATTACGGCGGAGACACGGTTGTTTATGCATTTTACACCAAGCCATTGAGCTGTGCAGGCGGTGGTGGAGTTCACCGGAAGTGTCCAATTGTGAAGGAGAGTGCCGTGGATGTCAGTTTGGGACTGAAAGAGGAGGAGTGCGGCGGTGTCGTTGCCGTCGCCGGTGGCGGTTACGGCGGCGGTCACGGCGGAGATGAGAAGTGTGAGGAGGAGAATGAAGGAGAAAAAACGGTTCATTTTTTTGGGTTTATGGCATAAAGCGCGGGAAGTTAGGAAGAGAACAAAAAAACACAAAGTTGAATTTAAGGAACAAAAGAGTTGAATTTGTGTATAGTGTAGATGATGATTGCGGTTAAAAACTTATTCGTACTCGATATTTATATTAAATTATATTAATTTATCCTCGATCTTTTGTTTTGATTATCGTATTAGCTATTGTTATTACGGTTTATTTTTCTACTATTTTTAAAAATAATTCTTTTACTACTCTATTTTCTCTTTAAATATGTTTTGATTTGCTTTATCAGAGTCGAGCGTCTATCGGAAACAATTTCTCTATCATCACAGGATAGAGATAACGTTTGGGTACAATTCACATTTTACAGTCTTAGCTTGTGGAATTATACTGGTATGTTATTGTTGTAATCTATTCTGGAAATTACTCAATGATGTTAAAAATGACTGATCATGAATTTTTGATTTCTCAATTACCTCACGGTGAACTTTCAAGGTCAAAATTAATTTTTTTTTGCTTATAGAACAAAACTTGTTAAACTAAAAGTTATATCCATGAAACCAGTGAAATAAAAAATTTAAGATCGCGTAATTTCAAATTCATTATGATAATTTACACCTATTTTTTTAGTTAAGTGATAAATTAAGAAGACAAATGTGTATAATTAACTATAATTTAGTTATTAAAGTTATATATTCATGTATATCATATATATAAATAACAAAAGAGTACAAAAAGTAAAGTTGAATTTGTGGACAGTGTGTAGATTAGATTGTTTGAAATTTTTGAAAGAAAACAGTACAATAAAGTTGAATTTGTGTACATTATCTTTTTTGTTTTGTCTTTCTATTTATATGTAAGAAATTATAAGATAGGGAGAAGACAATGTTGAGGATGAGAAAATAACAAAAATGGTCCCTTAGTTATAATAATTTTAAATTAAATGAGAAGGCATGATAATTAGATAATAGTCAAGTGATAAAAGAGTATATAAATGTTACTCAACATTCATTGATTTAACGTGATAAAACAATTTTAAATTCTGTATTCGTTTCTAATCGAGTTAATCTTTATCACTATGATTTCTTTTTTGTTTTGGGAGAGAGGAAAAGAAAAGTTGTGTGAAATGATTAAAGATGGTGCATGAGCATATGAGGGGTGGTTTTATGGAAATGATTGAAGTTCTTTTTCTCCACTCCCATAGCAAATGGAATCAAGTAAAGGCAAAGTGGGTTAAAAAAAGAGTGGACATGAGGTGAAAGAGTTTTCTTTTCCTTTTTCTAGTCTTTTTCATTTTAGTGAACTTGAGTTTGTTTGTTTGTTTTTATGATTATATCGAGGGCGAAGAAGGATAAATGAGGGAGAGAATTACAAAATGAGGAATCAGACGCTAATCAATAAGGTGAAAGATTAAATTTTCAATTCACTGAGCTATTAAGATCATTCAAGTGACTTTTAGTTCGACATATGATTCTTCCTTTTCAATACTAATTGAATTGAGATTCAGATCTATATCACCTACAACTCACTAAAGAGAAAAACACTAGGGAAAATACGATAATGGTTGTCTCGATCCTTTATTTCTATCTGTCTCACACAACAAAACACCTCATATTTGCTCAACATGATCATAAAGGAGACACAAAATTACATAGATAGAAGGATGAAACGAATCAATTCATTTGTCTTGATAAAACGAAGAAAGAAAAATAATGACTTTCTATTAAAAAAAATCTAATATTTAAAACACGAATTCGAAATTTTTAATTGAAAATGATGAAATTCTATCCGTCTTATTACAATTCATGATGATAACCTGACTCGTCATTATAGGACAAAACATCAATGGCTTAAATTAACCTAAATTTGAATATTTTTCTCATCAAGTGAACGATGCAACTTTTTTTTTAATCCTATTCTCTTTTGAAAAGTTTCAATATTTGTCATACATACAAATATTATAATTTTAAACTTAATGAGCAATTTTTTTCTTATACAAGGACCATTTTCTAGGACATTCAAGTTTTGAATAAAAGAGCGGTATACCAATTTATATATTTTGTAAAGTTTGGGAATAATTAGTCCTTTTGTTACTTTTAACATATAATATAATGCACAAATAAAAGTAGTAGGCAGCTAAGGTGAAACTGACCTATCAACTTGTCAATTTGTCTTTTAGAAAGCCGTAACTTACTCGTAATTTCGATTTATGTGAAGTAATTTAACTAAACATAAAATTTATGATTTTTAAACTTATAATATATCATAATATTTGTGTGATAATAAATTTTTTTAAAACCTATGATTTAGACATATCGTAACGTTTGGTGTAGTTATAAAAATTTGTTACGATTTATGAATGAGAAAAGAAAATCAGAAGTTTGAATTAAATTGTTTTGAAATTTAGAAAAAAATCATTATTTTTTAACGAACTTATAAGATTCTTTTTGAAATAAGAGTTTTATTTTAAAAAATTGAATGTATGATTTGCTCAGTCAAAAATAGTTCATAACCTAAATCAATCAAATAATCATGTTGTTGCAAAAAATTTACCCTATCTAATTCATATGTAGATCAATATCGACTAAAAAAGTGACAAATGATATCTTTTTGGAGAGTTGACTTGAAGAAAATCACAATTTTTTTTAGGTTAAAGAGAAGGATTGCGTTGTTAATTTAAATATAATATTTATTTTAATTGTTATTTAAATTTTATTATATTATATCGTTAAAATTTATTATTGTATGTGTAAAGGCGAACAATCCCATTGTATGTAATAACTAATTGGGTATAATCACATCGTTACTTTGTTCTCTCATTTGTCTTTGCTGGTTATATTATAATCATATTTTATGAGTTTTTGGCAAAAATCTCCCCTCAACTATGACTCAAATCTAATATACATCCTTATATTATCTAAGTGAGCAAAAAAATCATTATACTATCCAAAAAATAACAAGAATCATCCTTCAGTCTATTTTTGTTAAGAAACTGATTGAACTAATAAACAAAATAATTTTTAATTTGGTCACGTCATGGCCATGACGAGAAGATCAAAGTTACCTAAAAAGGATAAGGATATAGGAAATGAATCTTTCATTCTCAGAATTTAAATTTTGTGTGTTGTTAGTTTATATGTTTTTCTGCATCATCAAGTAAATTGACTTGCAACAATACATAAGTTTATATAGTACGTTCCAATGGTTAGAAAGATTATGTAAAAAAAATCATTTCAAAAATATTACGTCTAACTATTTATAAGAGATTTTCTTTAATAAAATATTTAGGGCGTATATATACTATATATACAATACAGTTCACATTTTATACAATGTACAAAAATGCTGGAAACTTAGTGAAATTACGTAGGTGTTTAGTTATGAAAATAAAAAAATAATTACTTTATTTGAAAATTTTGAAGTTGAAGCAGTATTTTGCCATATTTTTACAAAGAATATTTAGAATTTGAATATATTTTGTCTAAATATGATTTAAACTCTCAATTTCTAAAAATTAAAAAAATCACCTAACTTGATTAGCTTAACCATGTGTACATATATTCATTCGACTTGGCACATTTTTAAAAAAAATAAATAGACAGAAGGATGAATCTTGCAACTTTTTGTATAGTTCAAGGATGTTTTTTGTTCACTTATATAACACAAGGATGTACTTTAGGTTTAGGCCATACTTCAGGGATGATTTTAACCAAAAACTCCATATTTTATTTATCATATTTTTTATAACTATTTTACTTCGTATAGTATTTTGTTTGGTAATTCTATTCTTTAAATTGTTGATGTATGAAGAGTATTATATAACGACAGAAAACAATATAATACAATCTATTCAAAACTATATTCATCAAAAGAATATAATACAATACGATACATTAACCTACATTAACGACCATCCAAACATATGTGTAAATCATATATTAGATGGTGAGTCTAATCACCATAAAAGTTTCCATGATAACATTTAACTTTAGAAACTTTAAACCCTACACCTTTATTTAGGTCAATTTGGTGACATTTTAACAGAATGGAACATAATAATTATCAATAATTAGCCAAAATTTTCAAATTTAATTATGCACCAAATTGAAATGATTGCAATATTTGCCACCATAATAAAGCAATTTTCTCCATTATTTCTTTCCTGCCAACCAATAATTTTCTAATTTTCCTCAAAAACAATTCTACAAAATAATCTTTTAAGAGCATCAGATTAAATTGAAAAAATAAATGAATATAATGTTTTTAGTAAATATTTAACTAGTATCCAAGGCAGACCATCTTCAAATTAAAAAAATTGAAGAATACTGCTCGAAAAAGTTGGTTATGATTTAGAATATAAAAAATAAGTTTAAATCAAGTAGGTATTATATTATATATTGATTAAGCTTGAAAACATTAATAAAGATAACGATTGATAATTTAAACATTACTAACACACATTTATGCTATTTCAAGCCCCCCCCCCCTCGCGCTCATTCTCTTTTAATATAATATTTATTAATCCAACTAATTTAAATTTACGTCACATAGGAGAACATTTCCTACTAAGAAATTCTTCATTTCCTAACTCAAATTTAATTTTTTTTATGTACAAACTGAAGAAATAAATAAATGTATACCGTATTCCCATAGAAAAAGCACTTTGATGTATATTAAGCAATGAGATCTTAAGAAGATATGTTGCTCATTAGATTGGTCGGATAAAGGGAAATAAAATGGATTATAACTTTAATATAAAGATTTCTGGCAAGACTTTTGACTTCTGTGCCTTGTCAATTTTATATATAAAAAAAATAATCTATTTTAATTAATATTATAACTTAATAAATAAAGTGACATGCAACAATACCTAGTTGTATTTTAGTACCTAAAAAAACAAAAAAAAAAAAACTGCTAAAATATGTCAATGATTAAAGATCTTTATACTATGGGCGTGTGGTGGAAAATATTTTATGAATTTTTATTTTTGTAGGGTTTAATTGATCAAAATTTTCTAAAAAATATCTGTATAAAAATAAGGAAATTGATTTGTTATAATAGTAAAGAAAACAACTTACCATACATAATCACAAGTGACACTTAGCTTCAAGTTCATTGTTTCCTCCTCATCCACCAAATATCCCCAATCCCACCTCTCGAGTTTTGACCATCGCACTCACAACCACCCCCTAGTCTCAACCATGGGGGGATCTATGTATGAGGTTGGGATGCCATGGCATCCGAAGACCTCAGATAAAACTTTATATGTATATATACGTATACATATAAAGAAATAAATTTCGTATATACTAAGTTTGAATCCTTTGAGAGATATGTAATTTATAGTGCGAGTTTTGAATTAATTAAAAGAGTAGGTTCAGAAATGTATATCTAACTCTATGGTTATTTTTAAAACGAAAACAGGTAAAAACTCACACGGTTTAAATTTCTATCAATTTTATTAACTCTTGTAATGTAATCAAAGTGCTTATAGTCGAAAACGTAACTTGTACATGGACATGTTGCATTGTCCGAGAGGAATTCATTGTCCATGAGATTAGCAAAATAATCTCATGAAATTATGATCCGGTTAAGTTAATTTGAGCAAGTCACATTTGTTAATTCTATCCATGTTGACCTACCCAAATTCAAACTCAGGTAGAAGTTTGGTTCTTTGAGCTAAATATGTAGCATAAATTGACTAATGAGAAATCTTGTTAAGATATTTAAATAAAAAAAAAATTCTTTGTTCAATATATTATATATTGCTACAATAAAGAAGATTTATTATTATTATTATTATTATTTATTTACTAATCAAACAAATTATAGGGGAAAAAATTAAAATCTTGTAATTAAGAGTTGTGTGAATTGTATAATAATTCATTGTTTAGCTCATTTTGACCTATTAATTAACCTTTGAAAAATTAACATAAAAAGTTATTCGCTTACTGTGTGACTTCCCTCTAAATACTTGAAAAACGCCCGACAATAACTTATGTATTAATTCAACCTATTTTCGACCCGACCTGTTACACTAGAATATAAAAATTGGGATAAGGTACAAGTACCCCTCTAGATTATGATCGAAATTTCAGAGACACACCTTAACTAATCTAAGGTCCTATTATCCTCCTGAATTCATTTTTCGTGTAATTTTGCACACTTTTAAGCTTACATGACACACTCTGTGACTCCACTTAGGTGAGTGAGGCGCGTGGGAGATGTTTGGAGGCCACGTAGGCAAAAAAGCTGTATAAAATTACAAAAAAAATAAATTCAGGGGTAATAGGACCTTAGTTTAGTTAAGGTATATCTCTGGAATTTCAATCATAGTCTAGGGGGTACTTGTGTCTTATCCCTACAAAAATACATTCATTCATTATTTATTGACTTTAATTCTTTTCGAATCTTGTGCAAGTAGCGTAATATCTCTGACATGTATGGATGAGAGAAGAAGAGTGATGTAGTATGTAAGTGACATGTAACAATTTGATCTGTCGTTATTGATATGAACCTTGTGCGGAGTTTCAAAATTTTCTTCAAATTCAGTGTCAAATTAAAATTTGAGGCACATGGCGAATTATTAAATTTTGAATTGATCCAGGGTAACGTTCACCCGCCATAGTGGGAAGCCTCCCGCTATGGCTATGCCCATGTAGCGCCTGCAGGGTTGCTATAGCGGGACTGATGGAATCAGGCCTTAGAAAACTCGGTGTCTCTTATTTTTCCTCCCTTTTTTGACAAAATAGACGAGAGTTATTCTAAATTTTTTCACAAGGCCACTCTAAGCCTAAGAACAATGGAGGGGAGGGTTTTCAGCGCAAAAAAGGTTAAAACAAGAAATTTTGATCCACACTTGTCAGGATTCACCCCCAATGAGCCGGAAGCTTGCATTTAAAGTTCTTCAACAGTTACTTGGCGCCCAGGTGTCTAGATTTTCTTAACTTAGTAGTTAGACATGTATTCACCCATGTAATATCTTGTAGACTGTCGGGACATTTCATGCATAGGCTTTCAGGCACGATGTGTGGATGATTGAACGTACGTATAGCTAATTATGGTTAGGCTAATGATGTAACTGATTAGTTATAGTTGGATTTATGATGTTTGTTGGGTGTTATAATGGGAAGATAATTGTGGGTATTCGGATTGTGATCATGACATATTTGGAAAAGATTTCTCTCAGGTAACCAACATTTATGATTTTCCCGTTTATGTTATATATGTGCTAGTTAACTGTGCCGTTAGTAATGCATGCATGTTACTCTCTCTATCTCAATTTATATGACTTACTTTCATTTTTAGTCTGTCTAAAAAGGAATGACATATTTCTACATTAAGTAACAATTTAACTTTAAAATGACCATTTTACCCTTAATGAAATTATTTATAACTACACAAATTTCTATCATTCATTTTAGACCACAAGTTTTAAAAGTAATCATTTCTTTCTTAAACTCCGTGTCGAGTCAAACTACCTCACATAAAATGGAACGGATGGAGTATATGATTAGGAAAATTGAAAAGATATAATGTGGAGGGAAAGATGTTATCAATCGCATGCAATAGAAGAGTTTACTTAAGTAGACAAGGCTTGGATAAGTAAGAAGAAATCACATATCAATAGCACGAACGTTCACCAGAACTTTTGGGCATACAATAACAGGTGCCTTATGTTTTACGAGCAAAACAAATGACATATTTTCTCTCACAATATAAGTCTATGTGTTTCATGACAATGAAGAGAGTTGTGAGTTGTAACGATATGCTATGGTTTGTGAGTAATCCAACAAGATATATAGTTAGATTGCTCATAGTATAAAGTCATATATGTATGTGACGACTTGTATTATATATTTTCCCTTTTATGTTTGTACCTTTGAAATTATGATAATATTTTTTTGTACTGTCTAGCTAAGAAATTGAATCAAAAGCTTTTATGTATAGAGAAACAGAGTTGTATTTTGAGGCCAACTATCTGCAGGCTGCATAGCAGTGCAAAGATATTGAGGGCTAATAAAGTTCGATTTGACCTTTTCTCAAATAAAGTGGCAGTCGATCTCTATATATTTTGTACGCTCATGGAATATAGGATTCTCAGCTGACTTACTTTCCGTAAACACTAAGATAGGATTGACAACTGGACAGTGCAATTCTTTAAGCAATCCTGCCAACCAAACCAATTCTGCAACAAGGGATGCTAAACTTCTATATTTTGCCTCAGCTGAGCTTCTGTTGACTGTCTGCTGCTTCTTTGACTTCCAGGAAACCAAGGAATCTCCAAGTTTTACCATGTAACCAGTGACTGATCGTCTTGTATTAGGACATGAGGCCCAATCTGAGTCACAATATCCAGTGAGCTTTGTTCCTCTCTTGAGCAAAACTCCAACGCGTGGGGATCTCTTGACATATTTTACAACCCTCAGTGCTGCTTCTCAATGTGAAGCTTTGGGATGTTGCATAAACTGACTTAAAACTTGCACACTAAAACAAATATCAGGTCTAGTAATTGTCAGATACAACAATTTATCAATCAACCCCTGATAAGCTGTAATATCTTCGAGTTCTGGATCATTTGAGCTACGAGTGTGTTGATCATATTCCACACTGGTAAGCTTGTGATTGAATTCTGAGGGAGTACTCACTGCCTTAGCTCCACTTAGACCAGCTTCTGAAATAAGTTGGAGTGCATATTTCCTTTGATTAAGAGAGCGCCCATCTTTGGATTACAAAACCTCTATTCCCAAGAAGTATCTGAAACTTCCCAAGTTTTTCATCTTAAAATTCTGGTTCAACCTGACTTTAGCTTCTTGAATCATGTAAGAGCTATTCCCAGTGATCAAAAGATCATTCACATATACTAGAATCCCTTCTAGATCAGTTCCCTCCTTTCTAATGAACAAGGAATGATCATGAACACTCTGAGAATAGCCTGCTGCCAACAAAACCTCAGTGAGCTTGATATTCCATTGCCTAGATGCCTGCTTGAGCCCATACAAGGAGTCACTACTATATGAATTTCCTACCCGTCCCTTAACCGACATTACAACCTAGAAAAGCCCTATCTGATTCTTTGCAAAACACGCTTAATTAGTGGAGATGTACATAATGGGCAAACCTATGGTTCTCTGTGTATACATGTAAAATTTTCTTTTTGAGTGTGAGTGTTCTTTGATGACAAAGTCCTTAATTTATATTCAATATATTGATTTGAGTGTGTGGACTATTCCTTTGCATGAGGGGCACTTGTTTTATGAAAGATAGGTGATAGTTAATGGGAAACATGAAGTTTAATGTTTTGGTTGCAAAATGTTGTCGAATCAGTAAAGGTGAAGAAGTCTTCCATATAATCAATGGGTAGAATGAGGGGTAGCAATATGGGTAGATAAATGTGATAGATGTTACATAAGTTACAAGACACTAATGGTCATATGAATTACAAGAAACTAATGACCATGAGAGTTACAAGAACTAATGGTCATATAAGTTACAACAACCAAATAGTCATCACATATGCACTTAATATTTTATTATTTTAATAATAAAATGCATATACACCAACAAGATGTTCAGCGCTCCAATACAACAAAATTTAAGTGACCATCAAAACAAACATAATATTTAAACTAACAATACAATAAAAAACACCTTGACATCTTTGTGAAAATACATAGACATTTGGAAGATAAATCAAACTTTTTCTCTCATTCAAAACTGTTTCATCTCACGCGTCCACCAATACGAGGGTGGCTTTGTCTTGGAAATATGTGGGCAAGGAAGGGATACTGATATACTCTGTGTTTCCAAATTGAAAATACAGAGATAACGGCCCTTAATGAAGTAGATGGATTCTTTTTTAATATTAGTGCCTCTTGTACAACAAGTTGTTCCACCAAAACAAGGACCTAAGAAAATTGCAGTTTCACCAATGCTTTTCATCTCTTCCCACACTTTATTTACAAAATCAAACCGGAATACTACAATTTTGTAAACATCCTCAAACTCCCTTCCGTGGAACAACATGTGAACATGTAACAGCTCCACCTCGTCTTGAGATTTAATGAGGTAATTTCCAAAGCGTGGCATGTCTAAGTATTCTGTGAAGTAATCATATGGAGGTTGGTTAGTCATTGGTGTAGCTGATATTGTTCCTGATGAATCATCTACATCCAAACGGAGTAAAATAACTGTCTGCATTGTTAACACATAAAAATCTCCCTTGAAAACTGTCCATACCGAAAAGCAATTATCTCCAATAATTGATTTCAGATCTTGTTTATAAAATTCCTGATCATAACCTGGTTTGCACAAGTAAAGTGTAGCCGCATTCTCATCATTGTTCGCGTCATCCTCGGGATCCTCATTGTCTGTGTCATCATCATTGGGATTCTCATTGTCCGTGTCATCATCGGGATTCTCATTGTCCGTGTCATCATTATTGGAATCCAGGTCGTCATCATCGCCTGTGTCATCATCATTGGAATCGGTATCATTATCATCATCGGGATTCTCATTGTCCGTGTCATCATCATTGATATCTGTGTCATCATCATCATCATTGGGATAGTCATCGTTTGTGTCATCATCATCGAAATTCTCATTGTCCGTGTCATCATCATTGGTATCTGTGTCATCATTCGTGTCATCATTGGACTTCTCATCCTCTGTGTCATCATTGGAATTCTCATCGCCATCGGTGTCAGAAGGAGTAGTCTCATGAATTAGGAAGAGAATGCGACATTGAGGATCATTGGGTGGTGCAGACAAGAGACACAAAAGTTGGTCGTCATAAGGGAGTGGTGGGAGCTGAATTTTATCGTTTGAAATAGCATTCCAAAGGTAACAATCACTAGAATCAAAGTCTTCTAACACAAGCCACTCTTGAGCATAAGCACGTATTAGTGCATTACCAAGCTCATGTATACTTCTTATATATGATCGATCTTCTGATATACTGAAAAAAGTTTGTGTTTTTCTTGACGGACATATAACAAGCCACGGGTGTGGTTGTGAAGAAAGTGGTGGTCCATAGTATTCCAAGTTTTCCTTCTTTTTCTCTTCCAACCTCATCATCACGAGTTCAACAGCATTCAGTAGATACAAATAACAGATTAATGAATAGCTAGTATCGTCTCATGTGTATTTAAAAGAATGTCGTTCAAATTAAATATAACAATAATAATGAGTTCAAATACAACAAGGAAAAGGAATTAGAGTAGCTCTAGGACAAGCAAAATTGTTTCCTTTCCTTTCTAATAAATTATTGGGATTTTCCATAAATAAATAAAATAATTGGGATTTCCGATTCAAATAAATAATGTAAAAAAACAGTTACACGTTACTAATCTTGTTCTATTTAAATAGGGTAATAACATGTCTTTTTTCCGATTCAATTAATAGTAATTTAATCTCTCAAGTTCAAAGTAATATTTTCTGAATAATGATGGAGAATGCAAATTATTATAAATTGTGGTCAGATTGTATTCCATCAGACGTACTCGGATTAATATCATCCCATCTTGTTGCTGCTGAATACTTTGTTTTCCGTGCAGTTTGTAAAAAATGGCTCTACGCTCCTCAATGCCTCCTCTTCCCCAACCATCATCTTCGCAATGGCCTTGTTTGATGACCTTGCATAAAGAAACAGGCATGTTAGAATTCTTTGATCCGGTGTACAATGTCGTAACTACTCACAAGACGGGTATTCAAAAATTAAGGGGGTCCCGAATTCGGAGCTCAAGAGCTAATTGGTTGCTCATGAGTCATGGAAATCGCGGCATGTTTTTCTTCAATCCGTTTAGCAATGGCATAATTGAACTCCCTGATCTACTGGAGGAGCACAAAATTCTTGCTCTGCTTGGACTTTTTCGTGTCCTCCTGACTCATTATCGGATTGTTTCGTTGTTGGTTTTAAAGCCATTGGTTATGTCCCAGATGTGTACATCATCAAAGTTGGAGATACTGAATGGACGTATCACTACTCCTTGAACCCAGGAAAATTTATGGCAACCGGGTGCAATAATCCGTTATTTTTCAAAAACAATACTATCTACTTATTTGGAGATAAAGGTAACTTGGGAACACTACACATCAATGAAAACTCAGCTGCACAAAGACCTAGGTGGAAATTTTATAGCTAAAATTTATATAGTACAAGCTATCACAATAATACACGAATCGTGTTCATAAGAGACAAATAAAGAAAACTAATGAAGCCCACATTTTTATAAGCACTTCACTAGGATAATGTGGAATAATTCTCGATTAAGTTAGGGATATGATTTATGCCATGTTTGGTAGACATTATTAATTGGTCTAACTCTTAATTCAAACACAATATAAATTTTATTACTTAATTATGAAATATCCCATCTTATTTCATTCAACTTGAAATTATTTAATTTCATCTCTCATATAAGATAAATTAATATAATCAAATCTCTCTTTAACAGTGATCTTGTATAACCTTAATTCACGATCTCATATTTTTTGATATTATTGATGACTCATTACTTTAATGAATAATTTCTTCGAACAAAAGAAGATTATTATATAAATACTTACTCAAATTTTTATTTATCAGATTCTATTATGAAAGACACAATCTTTTGTGAAGAAATCGCCAAACACATAGTACCTAAAATTGTTGGTCCTCCATTAACCATGAGCACCTATTTTATCTGTCATTTTCATTTGTTTTTACATTTCAAAATTTTATTATACTCTATAAGTTGAGTTTAATTTCTGTTAGAACTTTTGAAGGTTACTCTAAGAGTAATATATATTTTAAAGCATCTTGAAAATTTCAAAAGCTCTAGAAATATTCACACAGATCAAGATATGACCAAACTATTATTGACAATCAGAAGATTCTCAAAATTCTTTCATGGAGATCAAATAAAATCTTAAAGAGGTCCACATTATCATAGTTCGAAAATTACGTCACTAGCGACCTTCAAATCACGAAAAAAATTTAATAGAGAAAAAATCAATAAATAAATAAATTTATACCCACATTATTTTATTAATAAAATTACATTTCTTTATATTTTATTTATAATTACGATTTAAAATTTGTTGGTAATTTGAAGGAGTTTGAATTGAAGAAGGAGTCTTACTTGAAGTAGAACTCTAAGTCAAGAGAATTCAAGTCAATGAGGAGTTTGAAATAAACAATAACTCTATGAAGAATTGTGCTTAAGTAGAGGCGAAGTCGTTAAGAATACTAGTGCACTTACAGAGCAAAAAGAGTAATTGAGAAATTGACTTCGCAAGTGCTACCAGCGAACTGAAGGAACACATTGAAGAACCTGATCCTTTTACAAAGTTTATGTGTTAGGAGTTTTTCTTTGTGATTGAGTCTTGATGTAATCTTAGTTCAGTGAGTTATAAACTGAATTAGAAGTGTTGTCTTCGGGTTTTGATAACTTGAAGAGTTGGGAACACATACCTTGAGAGGTTTGTGTTGAAGTTTGGGAATTATAGTTCGTAATTCCTTAGGTTACATAGGCTTGTAATCTGTTTTCTATGAAGGCTCAGTGATTTAGTGAAGTTGAAGTTAAATCCTATAGGATTACATGTCGTGGTTTTTTACACCTTTTGAGCAGGGTGTTTTCCACGTAAAAATACTGTGTTTTTACTTACTGTTCTTACTGCTTTGCTAGAACATGTTAGTCAACCTGTTTCACACTTAGACGAAAAGTTAAAATCAGTAATTTGGTCACTAACAGTTATCGGTTTAGCGTGCTCATTAATCAAAAACCAATGAATCGACTGATGCACACCCCTACTGATCCATGGTGCTCAAGTTCTCCAATAAATATTGTGGAAAAATGATTATTCTTTGGAGGATACGAAACACACTAAGCGAAATATTTTATTGAAATTTCAAATGTAAGCACGAATTTGCAGGATTTCCCCTTTCCAGCATTTGTTGTTCTATAGCACTAGTTCAAGTAGCTTCCAAAACCCTTGGTTTTTTAAGCAGAAGAAATATGTGCATACCATTGACGAGAGGCCTGCTTGAAAGACTTACTGAGCCTACAAAACAAGGGAGGAAAACCGTGCATATACACTAATTCTTCGTCAAGATCTCCATGTAAGAGCGCGTTGTTTACATCTATAAAATACAAATTCCAGTTCTTATTCACTGCAATAGTAAGTAAACATCTAATTGTTGTTAGTTTAACCACAAGAGAAAACGTTTCAGTGTAATCCAATCCTTCTCTCTTATTGCATATTCAGGTTTACAACAAAGCATTTGTATGGTAAATGATTTACTTCATAATAGTTATTAGCTTCTTGTTCTGTTCCATTATTTTAATTTACAACGTGTTTCAGGGCTGAATTTCACAAAATATATCTTTAAGCCTAGCTAGCTACGATGGGAGAGAGTGGTGCAATGTTGTAAGTATGCAAAAACAGTTATAATGCTAAACAAAAGTTCCCAACATTGTCTTGAATATTTGCATAGCAAGAAAAGATGTTCAGCGCTCCAATACAACAAAATTTATTTAAGTAACCATCAAAACAAACATGATATTTAAACTAACAAAAACACTTTGACATTTCTGTGAAGACATTTGGAACTTTTTCTCTCATTCAAAACTGTTTCATCTCACGCGTCCATCCATAAGCTTTAACCAATACGAGGGTGGCTTTGTCTTGGAAATATGTGAGCAAGGAAGGGATACTGATAAACTCTGTGTTTCCAAATTGAAAATACAGAGATAACGGCCCTTAATGAAGTAGATGGATTCTTTTTTAATATTAGTGCCTCTCGTACAACATGTTGTTCCCCCAAAACAAGGACCTAAGAAAATTGCAGTTTCACCAATGCTTTTCTTCTCTTCCCACACTTTTTTAACAAAATCAAACCGGAATACTATAATTTTGTAAACATCCTCAAACTCCCTTCCATGGAACAACATGCGAATATATAATAGCTCAACCTTGTCGTCTTCAGATTGAATGAGGTAATTTCCAAAGCGTGGCATGTCTAAGTATTCTGTGAAGTAATTATATGGAGGTTGGTTAGTCATTGGTGTAGCTAATATTGTTCCTGATGAATCATCTACATCCAAACGGAGTAGAATTCGAGTCTGCATTGTCAATACATAAAAATTTCCCTTGAAAACTGTCCATACCGAAAAGCAATTATCTCCAATAATTGATTTCAGATCTTGTTTATGAAATTCCTGACTATAACCTGGTTTGCACAAGTAAAGTGCAACCGCATTCTCATCATTGTTCGCGTCATCATCCTGATTGTCATCATTCGCCTCATCCTCGGGATCCTCATTCTCTGTGTCATCATCATTGGGATTCTCATTGTCCGTGTCATCATCATTGGGATTCTCATTGTCTGTGTCATCATCATTGGAATCAGTATCATCATCATCATTGGGATTCTCATTGTCCGTGTCATCATCATCATCATCATCGGGATAGTCATCGTTTGTGTCATCATCATCGAAATTCTCATAGTCCGTGTCATCATCATTGGTATCTGTGTCATCATTCGTGTCATAATTGGAATTCTCATCCTCTGTGTCATCATTGGAATTCTCATCGTCATCGGTGTTAGGATGAGTAGTCTCATGAATTAGGAAGATAATGCGACATTGAGGATCATTGGGTGGTGCAGACAAGAGACACAAACGTTGGTCGTCATAAGGGAGGGGTGGGAGCTGAATTTTGTCGTTTGAAATAGCATTCCAGAGGTAACAATCACTAGAATCAAAGTCTTCTAACACAAGCCACTCTTGAGCATAAGCACGTATTAGTGCGTTACCAAGCTCAGGTATACTTCTTTTATAAGATCGATCTTCCGATATGCTGAAAAAAGTTTGTGTTTTTTTTGACGGACATATAACAAGCCATGGGTGTGGTTGTGAAGAAAGTGGTGGTCCATAGTATTCCAAGTTTTCCTTCTTCTTCTCTTCCAACCTCATCGTCACGAGTAGATAAAAATTACAGATTAATGAATAGCTAGTATCGTCTCATGTGTATTTAAAAGAATGTCGTTCAAATTAAATATAACAATAATAATGAGTTCAAATACGATAAGGAAAAGGAATTAGAGTAGCTCTAGGACAAGCAAAATTGTTTTCCTTTCCTTTCTAATAAATTATTGGGATTTTCCATAAATAAACAAAATAATTGGGATTTCCGATTCAAATAAATAATGTAAAAAAACAGTTACACGTTACTAATCCTGTTCTATTTAAATAGGGTAATAACATGTCCTTTTTCCGATTCAATTAATAGTAATTTAATCTCTCAAGTTCAAAGTAATATTTTCTTATTCTGAATAATGATGGAGGATGCAAATTATGATAAATTGTGGTCAGATTGTATTCCATCAGACGTACTCGGATTAATATCATCCCATCTTGTTGCTGCTGAATACTTTGTTTTCCGTGCGGTTTGTAAAAAATGGCACTACGCTCCTCTAATGGCTCCTCCTCCTCCACAATTATGTTCGCCATCGCCATGTTTGATGACCTTGCATAAAGAAACAGGCATAGTAGAATTCTTTGATCCGGTGTACAATGTCGTAACTACTCACAAGACGGGTATTCAAAAATTAAGGGGGGCCCGAATTCGGAACTCAAAAGCTAATTGGTTGCTCATGAGTCATGGAAATCGCGGCATGTTTTTCTTCAATCCGTTTAGCAATGGCATAATTGAACTCCCTGATCTACTGGAGGAGCACAAAAATTCTTGCTCTGCTTGGACTTTTTCGTGTCCTCCTGACTCATTATCGGATTGTTTCGTTGTTGGTTTTAAAGCCATTGGTTATGTCCCAGATGTGTACATCATCAAAGTTGGAGATACTGAATGGACGTATCACTACTCCTTGAACCCAGGAAAATTTATGGCAACCGGGTGCAATAATCCGTTATTTTCTAAAACAATACTATCTACTTACTCGGAGATAAAGGTAACTTGGGAACACTACGCATCAACGAAAACTCAGCTGCACAAAGACCTAGGTGGAAATTTTACGGGAGTTATTTTCCAAGTTCAAAACAAGGATTAATTAGAAAGGCATACACAGCAGAAGATGTTGATAATGGAGGAATGTTAGCTGTGATTTTATGTCGTGAAAAAGGGGATGTAGAGGTTTGGAGGTACAAAATAAATGGAAAAGAGTTGGAAAGGGAAAAAATAACAAGTTTGGATAATAAAACATTGTTTGTGAGCTCCGGAGGGTCCTACTTGAAAACATGTGTTGCACAGGGACTAGGGAACAAGATATATTTCTCAATGTTTCACGACAACAACAAGGGTGTTTTCTACTGTTTGGCCAATCGCAAATATTACTCTTTCGATTACTCTGTCAACAAAGCTTACTCAAGTCCAAATATTTTTAACTTGGTCCAACCAAGATCCTGCATTTGGATCGAACCAGAGAATGATTAATCGTTCCCCTTCTGTTGCTGTTTATTTTTCCATTAGTTAGCAATGTTTTTTTGGGCCAAACTCACATGGTTTTTAATTTCCACTCAGTAGTATCGGTGTAGCAAACAAACTTTTCATATTCTATCTTCCAAGCCTGCCTATAGATCACACTCGACCTAAAATGTAGAAAGGAAATCGATGTTGAAGCTCAGTAAGATACTCAGAAGTAGATCGATCATTACACTTTTTAATGCAATGTATCTCACCCAATATTTTCTGTAAACCATGTTTTTGTGTATGAAAATTTATGTTTGCTTTGTAAGTCGGATTAGGTGACATTTAAACATACGATGAACAATCAAAATTTGCTCAGAAGCATAGTTTTATTTTACTTATTTTGACTTTATTTAAATCAACAACATATATAGAGATTCGTGTGCATATGTAATGTGCAGGGGCGGACCCATCCTTACCTAAAGGGTGTCAAGCGACACTCTTCGTTGGAAAAGTATGTTATATATAGAGGTCAAATTTTGATTTTATATATATAAGTATTGACATCACTTGACATAATTAGCTAAAGATTTAATCTAGTGATTAACGTGTTGTAAAAATTCCTTTAGGTTGTGTGTACTAATCCTACTAGCGGCCTTTTGTTTGCCGTGGTGAGAACATATTTAAATTGCAACTAGCTCAACTACATTTCATGATGAAATATTTGGAATTGAATTTTGTTGCATTGCATAATAGTTATATGGCTTTGATCAATAATTTCATTTACTGAAGTTTGCATTGATTTGGTATTTTCTTTTATATAAATAATTTTTTCTAAAAAAAACCTTCCAAAATTTGCCTATTGGCATCATATTCTAGGAACCAGATGATTTCATACCTATTGATATTTAATTTACTTGAAAGTTGTTAAGAATGTATTTAAATGTCCATATAGTTATAGTACTAAAGTAAATTTTACATTCAAGTTCAAAAGAATTTGATGTTTTTACTCCTTAATTAATTACATACTAGGAGTCTGCGATAATCACAAAAGGCCGATGGTTCATGTTTTGTCTTCACTTTAGAGTCTCATGGATTTACATCAAGGCAAATTTCTTTGATGGGAGTGAAGATAGGAATTTTCGACGAACTAATGCAATACATGAAAAATTGTTTGCTTTTCTTTCAACCCAGTGGAAGAAATTTGAGTTTCCATTAATGTCCATCTATTTAAGGAATTTGTGAATCATTCTAAAACAAAATTAAAATAAAATAAATTTATAATTATACTTTTATTGAAACTAATCTAGTGGGATAAATAAAATAAAAGGGTTAGAAATCATACTACAAAAATTAGATTAATAAGATTCATGTTTCATTTTATTTGCCACACTGATTTTAGATTACCTTACCTAGAGAAATCGACATTGTAGAATTTTTTTCATTCGATTCGTAACTACTCAAAACAATGATATCCAAAATTAAGGAGTAGTTGCTCAAAAGCTAATTGGTTGCTCATAAGTTTTGGAAACTACGACAGATTATAATGGGAGATTCTGTTTATGTTTTTTGGGATGAGAGTGATTTTAGAATCCTTACCTTCATGGTAATTTTTTTTGGACCACAATTATCGTTGAAGAACAAAATAAAAATAAAATTTATGTAGTTGGAAGACTTTGATAACAAAGCTTTGATTATTGTCTTTCGTATTGATGTTCAAAACACTGTACAAGTGTGGAGATATAGGGATGCTACGAATTATAACAGCGCCTTCTTATGTTTGGAAATATAAAAATACTTTTCTTATGATTACTCTAGCAATAAAGATGCTTCCAATGCAAATATCTTCGCATGGGAGAGCCCGGTATATGGATTAATGACGGCATCTTTTGATCTGATCTGGTTGCTTTAATATGAATTAGTCCTTCCCATAGTTATTTTTATTTTGGTATTTTCCCCCTTTTCTTTAAATTCATATTCTGTAGCAGCGACTCAACATATTGTGATTGTTAATAGAGAATTTCTATCTAATTGTCTGTCTATTTTTTTTTCAATATCACGTTTTCTTTTTTTTTTTAATTAAAGGATATATCTCGTTCTCACTGAAGCATTTTGTTACATTTTTTTTCTCTCATGGCAACAAAATTTTTTAATGGAATCTTGTTATATCCTCCAAGATTTTACATTTTAATTAGAACACAATAAATGCTCAAGATATAGTACATGTTTATCTTTTTGAAATTATTGTATGGATGATGATTAATTGATTGCAAGTATATATATACCAAAGATGCATGACCCGTGCTGAGTAATGCCCAATATTTTATACTTTTAGCAATGGTTAATTTTGAATGATTTGCATAGTCATTTGATCACGAAGGACAATAGAAAAGAACGAAAAACTAACACACCAAAAAATATAAAGATAATTGAGTTGATGTTAGGCCATTAGCAGATGAATACCACATAAGTGAAATGATTGGCGTGCGACAGAGCCTTAATAGAGTGTATTAGAGTAACAGTCAATATATAAAAATTGACTTAGGTATCCTGCTTACAAATGTGTATTTAGCTGACTGGACTAAAATGTGAAATCAAAATTAATTTTATCAATCATATACTAATTCAACCCTCAATTAAAGAGGAAACATTCAGAACTAACATTCTTGCTAAAGATACAATACGACATACATACCACATGTATATTCAAAAAACAAAGAATTTCATTCAAATAGTATCTATTTTTAGACATTAATAAAACAGCAGTGTAGAGTATTCAGGCAAGAAATAATAACATCAACAAAATAGTACAATCACCTAAACGTAATAAACAAATTGACAAAATCGTATGTACAAGGAATTGAAATAACTGCAAATGAAGAGAATTAAATGGAGTAAAACTATGCCAATATAATTATGTTAGACTATTTTAAAGTTTTCCATTCGTGGAAGAAAAATATGTAATTCTAAGTTTCTACTTTAGTTGACCACTTTACTTATGCTAAATTCTAACCTATTGTTGCTAATGACTAACAAATTCATCCATAACAAACAATACTACATCAATAATTCTATAATCGAACTACACGAAGCAACAAACAGTAACATAAATCAAAGAATAAGAAACTACAAGAGTGGTATTACGTCTACTAGTCAGGTAATTAAACAAGACAATAAACTCCTACTTACTAGTATACGTGCATTCCTACATACTAAGCTTCTACTCTAATTTGTACGCTCCACACCTTCCTATCTAACATCATGTCCTTGGTAAGATGCAACTATGTCATGTTCTGTCTAATCACCTCTCTCCATTCTCCAATAATTCTTCGATCTACCTCTACCTCTCCTGAATCCATCAATGTCCAAGGAGACGGCATGACCATTGATTTCGAAAAATTTTACTTTCAACATTAAGATTCTTTTAGTTTACATCCAAAAAATCAAGTTCATATAAACACAAAATCAATTCCAGGAGTAATAATATTTTCTTCCCCCCTTAATTGTATCTTGTACTTTGTATGGAAACATATATATTTTCAGTCAACCTCAAAACAAAAATTGATCATTTTGTCCCCCACAGAAGGACCACATCTTCAAATGTATATGACCTATGATAAAATTCAATTAAATTGCCATGATGTATACAACTTGTATCAGTCCAAGAATATGTAATTTTTCTCAAATATGAGGACCACCTCTATTTTATATATGCCATTTAGTACATCTCAAAAGATAAGTTAAACTCTGCTGAATGCAAAAACATAGAATGTGTGTTATGTTATCCCTCTCTTGTTGTCTCTATTATAATATTTTAATGTCGCAGTTTCACATTATCGAGGATACATAACTCTAGATAGGAAGGAGTGAAGGTCGCGTAGTATGGTATATAGAATGTCAGTAGGGGTAGAGTGCTGTCTTGCATTGCTTTTGTTATCTATAGCATGTGTTATGTATTGTGCTTCGATTATTACACTATTTTGAGGGTATAGATTGTTTTTGTTCTATAGGCTCTATACCGCTTTTCATATTAATTGTTATGCATTTTTTTTCTTTTATTTGAGTTTGATCCACTTATGAATCGAGGGAAACAGTCTCTCTACCTCCACGAGGTAGTTGTAAGATTTGCATACTCCATTTAATAGGATTTCACTAAATATGTTGTTGTTGTTTCAATTCCGCGGTAAATAAGAAATTAGGGTTGACTACAATACTTGATATATTTCAAGATATATACCATTAGACAAAATCTTAAATATGAACATCATTATATATACAAGTAGGCAGGCTGGACCATTAAGTTCAAAATAATTTCACTTGAACAGTAAGATCCTTTTAGTTTATATCCAAAACATCAGAGCACTAAAAACCATAACGATATATTAAAATGTTGCATAGTCTTCTATTACACACTTCTTCCCACTAAATTTATATCGTCTATCAAATGCAGTATATCATATGAATTTATATTTTTAACTAACCTCAAGAGAGAAATCAATCTTATCCCCGCACCCAAATAAAATAAATTAATACAATCAAATCTCTCTATAAACAGTAATCCTATATAACCTTATTTCACGATCTCATATTTTTTTATATTATTAATGACTCATTACTTTAATGAATAATCTCTTCGAACAAAAGAAGATTATTATATAAATACTTACTCAAATTTTTATTTTATCAGATTCTATTATGAAAGACACAATCTTTTGTGAAGAAATCGCCAAACACATAGTACCTAAAATTGGTGGTCCTCCATTAACCATGAGCACCTATTTTATCTGTCATTTTCATTTGTTTTTTAATTTCAAAATTTATTATATGAGTTTAATTTTTGTAAAAGAGTAATATATATTTCAAAGCATATTGAAAATTTCATAAACTCTAGAAACATTTATAAAGATCATGACATAACCAAACTATTCTTGACAATCAGAAGATTCTCAAAATTCTTTCATGGAGATCAAATAAAATCTTAAAGAGGTCCACATCATCCTAATTCAAAAATTACGTCACTGGTGACCTTCAAATCATGAAAAAAATTTACTAGAGAAAAATATCAGAGAATAAATAAATTTGTACCCAAATTGTTTTATTAATAAAATTATATTTTATTTATAATTTATAACAAAAAAAAATAATTCCATATTATTTAGTACAACAATAAACTATACCACAATCATACCAATGAATTATGGAGAAATAATTGTCATGTAAGAAGATCCATAATATCAATAATTTATTAGTGCACAATTTTCATCAAGTGGCCTCCATTATCACGTAAATAAATGAGAAAGCAACATTATATTATTTTATCACAGAAATTGCGGCCATTCCATCCCCTCTTAAAAAATTCCAGACAAAAAATTGAAAAATTCACTAACAATTAAAAGTATCATCTAATTTTTTAACTGAATATTTTGGGTCGCTAGTCGTGTATGGACGCATATTAAATATAAATAAAATGTTGTCTTTTTCTACCAAAAAAGGAGTATCATTTAATGCATAAAACATCAAAAGTTTTACATTATTTAACAACGAAAAATAATAGAGTATATCTAAATATTATACTTATGAATTAAGCATTACAATGTGTTATATTATGAAATAATATGTATTACTACTAACAATTCAAATAAAATGTAAAAGAAAATTACGATAGATAATTTAAAATGAATAAAGAAGTAATTATTCGTTGGAATGGTTATTGATATGTGATTTTTAGTGTTTTTAATGTGTCATTATAGTGTTGATACATAGGACGAATCTAATATTGAAAATGACTGTTCAACAAATAAATACTGTATATCTTTTTATTGATTATTTATTTGTTTAAGTACCGTATAGTAATGAAACATATTTTAAGTAAATGGTATTATGAGGTCTGCAATGAAACAATAAATTCCAAATGCAACATATTAACTTTTAATTAAATAATCAAACCCTCTTTTCAATTAAAACAAATTGCATTGTGTTCAGGGCCCGGACCCACATCCGGCAACTTTTAATTTTTTTTACGGAAAAGAGTCAAAAATAACCTTAGACTATTTGAAAAGGTTTAAAAATATCCTCCATCTATCTATTGGATTAAAAATACCCCTTCATCCACCTTTTTGGCCTATTTTTACCCTTAAAACTTAACAGATTTTTTAAAATTATTATTAGTAGTACTACTTATTACGTGGCGTCTTCCTATTGGATAAAATAAAATCCCCAACTCACCAATTTTTTCTAGCCTGCGCGACCCATACTACATTCCTATGACCCAAATCCAATTAAACACAAGTGACCCAAATTTAATACCCACCCTCTTCGTCTTTCTTTTTGGAGCAATTCTTTAAAGGAATCCATGAAGTAGAGGCAGACAAATAACCCCCAACTTTCCTCGAGGCCGTCGCCATTAATTCTTTATTTTTCAAATAAAACAGGTATTTTTCGAAGAACAATTGAATTTTAATATGATCATAAGGAAATCAGAGAATTAAAAGTTTAAATAGATTATGAATTATTGAAGTATTCAACTAGATCGATCAAACAGAACAAACCAAATATGAATGAGACTGTATTGAGAGTAATATTATATTATTAAGAGGGACAATAATTATTCATATAAAGGTCAACAAGATGAAAAAAAAAACAAGGGAGAAATAATTTTTTAAAATTCTTCAATGAATTCGTCATGGGAATGATGAGGAATGATGAGGTTGCCTCTGGCCTCTGCTTCATGGATTGTTAAAAAAAATTGCTGCTCCTAAAAAAAAAGAAATGTTGCTCCACGAAGAAGACAGAGGGTGAGAATATTAAATTTGGGATTTCTTGTGTAATTGTGTTTAATGGAATTTGGATCACAGAGTTGTGGGTTTTGATCGGGGCGGGTTGGAAAAAATTGGTTAATTGGGGATTTTTTTTATCCAATAAGAGGACTCCACGTAATAAGTAGTACTAATAATAATAATTTTTAAAAATCTGTTAAGTTTTAAGGGTTAAAATAGGCCAAAAAAGGTGGATTGAGGGGTATTTTTAGACCAATAGATGGATGAAGGGTATATTTAAACCTTTTAGAATAGTTTGAGGGTATTTTTGACCGTTTTCCAATTTTTTTTATATATAAATAGATAATATATTTGAATGTGCACCCAAATAAATAAAAATGATTCTAGTGCGGTTGGTCAGAGGCTGAAAATTAGAGCTCAATGTCTTGAGTTTGAATCTTGGAGAGTGTTGTCATTTTTTTGCTTGTGTTCTGAATACTCTTTTTATTTTAGCATTTATCATAAGAAAATTATAATAATATACCTAGTGTACTTTCACTATTATTAGAAACATAGGTTTTTTTCTAATCGTGAATTAATGAAAATTTTATGTTATAAATATAATTCTTTTTTCTATTTATTTTTCACCGAACTAGCTCACTAGAAAAATGTGTGGTAGAAAATAGATTCTCGAAATATTGAAAAACCTTTTAATTTTTTGGTATAAAAATACGGAGTACTAGTTTTTTCTTTTCTACTTATTCAGTCTAAATATAGATATGTGGGAATAACTAATGAACATTTTTCAGTGAAAAATTTCAATGGGAAAACAATGATTTTTAAGTAGCGCACGAGCGGAACTCAAAGAGAATAGAGTGGCAAGAATGGAAAAACCATGAAAAAATACTACAGAAAACGTACAAAAAGGATAAACAAAAAAATACAAGAGATATGAAAAAGAAGAAGATAAATAATTTTATCATAGACTTTATCACTATCTCGTGGAGGTAGATAGACTTTTCGTAAAACCTCTGACTCAAGTAAAACAAATCAAAATAATTATGAAAAAAATATGGCAGTAAAGAAAACATGTCAATCAATAAAAAAAATAGTAAAGAACAATCAGAAAAACAGAACAATAACAATGAAATAGTATGATAACTGAAGCTTAATAGGTTATATATCGTAACAAATATCGAAAGCAAGAAAGTAAGAAACTACATATATAAGACTAATATTATATTATATGATATAACAGCGCTGGTTAACAAATGCTTTGATTATAATTTATAACGTACATTCTTTTTAAAACTATATATTTCTTCCTTTTTTTAATTACTCATTATTGGCTAAGAATCTTATTTGATTATACTTTGGGAGTATCTCTTTAATACGACAATGATATTTCGGTCCAGGTTGATATATCGTCATCTTATTTGTCAGGTACTCAAAAAAAAATATACGCAAATTTTATTTTTATCATATAAAAAATACTAATAAAATTATTATAATAGCTTATAACTTGCTAACTTTTGGATACTCTAATGAGTTTAAACATAATATTAATGAGTCAATTTGAATAATTATACATGTAATCTAAATTGTTTTTTTTTAAATCCAAAAGTTTGAGGCTTAAAGCCTCATTTTAAAATCTTCATGTAATCTAAATTGACGGCTTAAATTAATCATTTAATACATCTGCTTAGTCAATCAATTAGAATTTTTATCATTTCATCAAAAATATAAATGTATCTTATTGACTAATCTAGATAACATTAAACTTGACAAAATGAAATAATTGAAAAATATTATTTAGAAACATATACTAAATGCTGAGATTACGCATTAAATTTATAATAAAAATTTATAATCGATATTCATATTAAATTAATAAATGAATGATATGTGTCGTTCACACTCATAGTTATTATTTTAATTATAATTTTAAAAAAAAAGAAAAAGATATTGAACCAAAAGGATGAAGATGCCATATTGCTTGTCTTCATCACAAGGGACAATTTTTTGATTATTGGGATTGGACCCTCTTCTTCATCAAAATATATATATATATAACTTTCCCAAAAAGGAAAAAACAGCACTACAATATAGTACATTTCTCTATAAATGCTCTCATGGGCTAAACACAAAATTTGTACATCACTCAGGTTGATTCCTTCAATCTTTTTCCTAAAGATTTTTTCATTCTCTAATTAATTCTTTCTATTTGCTTCATAGCTAGTCTTTTTATTTTTACTATCAACACACTTTTTTTTTCTTCAAAAATTTGAAAATATTATTTGTTCATAAAGTATGTCATCCTTGCTATTTTGTTGTCATTTTTTCTTGCAAATTTGTTTCAAAAAAATTTCTTTTGAGTCGAGGGTCTATCAGAAATAACTTTTCTACCTCACAAAACATAAGTGTAAGGTCTGTACAAATCTTACCCAAGTAGTATTATGCATGTCCAAATACGACTTCAACCTCCAAAACTCGTTTTTTTTTCTTCAAATTTCAACTAAATTTATGATCAAACGCTTGCTTATCTTAGAAAATTACTAATGACTTGTTATTTCTTTTGATATATGCAGATTATATACTAAAGAAAAAAAAAGGTGAAAATGGAGTATGAAATTTTAGGTTTGGTCCTACTTTTACTTGCATGGGTTGCATGGGCTATATTGACGGAGCGACGACAACGACGACTCGAGGAATACGGGCGGTTACCACCAGGACCACGGTGGTGGCAACTAGTAACCAACATTTTTCAATCAGGTTTTGCACCACATGTATCATTTGCAAAATTGGCTAACAAACATGGTCCTATAATGACCCTTTGGTTAGGTTCAATGACCACAGTGGTTATTTCATCTAATGAAGTGGCTCGTGAAATGTTCAAGAATCATGACATCGTGCTTGCAGGTACAACTTTCACGTACATCGATTATATATAGACATTTTTTTTTGTATATAGTGAAATCTGAACCCTGATCTCTCATGATTTTCATAACTATACGCATGACTATATTTGGATGTTTTTCCTATATATAGTGGAATATCCCATGATTTTCATCGCGCAAATTTATGTGTACTAAAATCAAATTATGAAATAACTTAAGGAACAAAAGTGTTTTAATATTAATTATCAGCTTGTGTTTACCTCACTTTTCAGGTTTGGTTAAATTTAAACTCTACTTTTCTTCCATTATTTTCATATATATTTCATTAACTAATAAAACTATTTTAGTAAACTTAATAATTAACCTCTAGGCCACACCTCTGGTGCTGTCAGGTAGAAAGATATACGAATCCATGAAAGGCGATATAGGAAATGAGGGTTCACTCATCACTAATCAATATGGTCCACAATGGCGTATGTTAAGGAGATTATGCACGACAGAGTTCTTCATAACAAGTCGTCTTGATGCCATGAGAGGTGTACGTACAAAATGCATCGATCAAATGATTAAATTCATGGAAGACGCGGGGAATTCAGGCACAACTTCCATTGATGTTGGAAGGTTTTTCTTCTTAATGTCATTTAACCTAATCGGAAACCTATTGATTTCAAAAGACCTAGTTGATCCAACATCGGATAGAGGTGCAAAGTTCTTTTACCATGCAGGAAAAGTTATGGAGTTTGCAGGAAAACCTAATATCGCAGACTATTTTACTATTTTGAGATGTCTTGATCCACAAGGTATAAGGAGGAAGACGCAATTTCATGTTAGAAGGGCATTTGATATCGCGGGTGGATATCTTAGAGAAAGAATGGACGATATCGAAAATGGTGAAGAGAGAAAAAAGGATTATTTAGATGTACTTCTTCAATATCGTGGTGATGGTGTGGAGGGTCCTTCTAGGTTTTCATCTCAAACGATTAATACCATACTTTTTGTAAGTATACTCTATATGCTCGAATATTTTGAGATTTAACTTATGTATACTGTATTATAACATGTTAGAATAGATAACATATTTTATTATCAAGTTACTAACATCATTTGTTGGTAGTTAAATGAGTCCAATAATAATGATCATTATTTATTACCTAATGATTTCAAATTTAAATTATTTTATTGAATATGATTTTGGTGTTCAATAACCACCAAATAATAAATCAAATTAATAATATTATATATTTTGTTGGGCTACACTTTGTGTGGTGGTTCTATTTATTTGGATTGAGGGAAAAAAAACAGAACTCAAGCCAACCATTTGACTAAATGACAATAAAATTATATTTAAACACTTTCATAAGTAATGAAAAAACTCTCCAAATGGATATCAAAAGTGCTTATTTTTGACAAAATTTACTAAAGGACCAAGTTTACTATCAATATATTTAGGGGATTTATACTTTGAAGCTTCATTAAGAGGTTTTAAGTTTCTTTTAATTAGTGGTATACATGTTGTTTTTAAAAGCACGATTCTGGTTGAAGACATAATCAAATAAATAAAGCATGCTATATATATTAAGATTAAAGTGTTTGATTTGTCTTTTTATCAGGAGATGTTCACAGCAGGGACAGATACAACTACCAGTACATTAGAATGGGCAATGGCAGAGCTACTCCACAACCCTACTACTCTTCAAAAAGTCCAAGCCGAGTTAAGAAGAGTCATTAACCCCTCAAATAAGCTAGAAGAAGAAGACTTGGACAAACTTCCTTACTTAAACGCGGTGATCAAAGAAACCCTAAGGTTACACCCTCCACTTCCATTCTTAGTCCCACACATGGCCATGGACTCTTGTACCATGTTAGGTTATCACATCCCAAAAGAAACACAAATTCTTGTTAACATTTGGGCAATTGGTAGGGATCCAAAGACGTGGAAAGATCCTTTGAAGTTCAAGCCAGAGAGATTCTTGGAACCTAATATGATAGATTATAAGGGTCATCATTTTGAGTTTATACCATTTGGTTCTGGTCGAAGAATGTGCCCTGCAGTTCCCCTTGCTTCTCGTATGCTACCACTAACTTTAGGGTCAGTTTTACACAAGTTTGATTGGGTTTTAGCTAATGGAGTGAAACCAGAAAATTTGGACATGAATGAAAGAATGGGGATGACTTTGAAGAAAGCAATTCCATTAAAGGCTATACCATGTTTGTACATAAAAAATATTGTGTAACCG